CTGAGAGGGAAGTAGACTGGTTTGGTACCAGACAGACACAACAAACATCACATCATCCTCGTTTTTTTATGTTTAACAGTAAAAATGACATTCAAATATTCATATAACAAAAGTCCTGACTCATCACAGTCACAATATCTGATAAATAATTAGACAATGTCTGCGTAACGTTCAGCTCCAGAGACAACAGTGTACTTCACTACAGCTGTATTAGCTCTATTAGGACTGGTTTCTGTAAGTTAAAGCTGGTAAGTTTAAAGAACACAGGTAAGTTAAACCTTCCACTCAGCTCTTGTCTGGTGTTGACACAGTGTGTGTACCTTGTGCCTTGAAGGTGTTCAGGTCCTGTCTGAAGGTGTGTGTTGGACTTCTGAGCTGCAGAAGAGTCAGGTAGCCATGTTCGCTCACCTCCACCTTCTCCTCCTCCTGCCTCCAAACAGTCACTATGATCTGACACACACACACACACACACACACACACACACACACACACACAAACAGGCCATTAGCGGCTACTTATTCTGATTGATCACACAACTCTTAGCTGTGTACTGGTGTCCATGATTTTACTGTAGTGGATGTTCACAGTTTGAATCATGTGACTTCAGATTATGATCGTGATCCAGATTTCAGAAATCCATTCAATGAGAACAGAGTTGCAGATGAAGTGATCGACAACATAATCCATTGAATTACACGTCAGATAAACTGAAAATACAACAGTCATGAAACAGTCGTACTCCCACAACAGTCTAATACAACCACAGATACCAGCAGGTCAGGTGCCACAGTATTTACACGGTCTCTCAGTTGTACACGCTCCTATCCTCCAACCCTTGTTGTCACAGTGCAGAGGCTGACCTTGGCTTTGAGTGTGTTGACTGGCAGCTTGTCCAGAGAGACGGTGAGACAGAAGATGATCTGGTTGTCCTGCACCAGAGCAGACTGCAGGGGGACACAGGGGACACAATGTCATTACAGACAGAGAGCTTCACAGACTGTGAAATTAATTGGCAGACAGGTAATTAAGATGAAGTGGATTAAACGGGTCAGACAGAAAATACAGAGTTCAACCTCACTGCAACAGAAGTGATCACACCTGTGATCTCAGGCTAAGACTGACTGTATGAAAAAGGTTCTAAAAGAACTTGTGAACTCCACAGGTTCCTCAGTTCTGTCCCGGGCTCTGTCTAACTGAACATGGCTCCACATGGTGAGGAGCTGCAGGAACAATGAGAGACTTGATAAAGATGGAGAAGGAACAGGAGTCGAAACACAGGAAGAGACAAGCGACTAATAACAGGAGGAGCAGTGACATCACTGTTTACACACTGAGAAACAGACGGTAAGAGATGATCTGATGAGACAGAGAGGGGGGCACTGACCACTGCTCACAGAGCTGCAGATTATGGAAGGAATGAGTCCACAAACCTGGAAATTCTTTGAATTTGAATGCATGTTTGGTTAGATGAGTGAAATAAGGTCTGTGGTTAAACACAAGCTCAAGACATTTTCACCTCTTATTTTACAACGTAAAATATATCAGTAAATACTCCAGTCCGGATTTCTTCAAGCTTTTACATCTTGTTTCTAACAAGCGTCTAAATGAGACAACAGAGGTTGTCGGGGACGTTAAACATCACCATGTTGAACATGAAAAGCGATCTACTCAGCAGTCCGCTTTTACAGCCTCGTTGTGTTTATACAAACTGTCACTAACTGTGTGGGAGGAAAGGCTTTTGTAGAAGAGGTCAGAGCGGAATCAGTGTGTAAAGCTGCAGCAGCCTGTCAGTATCATGTGTGATGTCTGCAGTCTGGCAGGCAGACAGCACTGGAGCTGGGTTTGAGTCCCTGAAGGCATGACTACACTTTCAAGTCTGGACACAACTGGAGCAGAAAGATTACATAACAGAGGTCGCAGGCACTTGTATCAGAGAGAATCAAATAACACAGACGAACAAAGAGCAGGGTCAGTGTGCAGAGGAAGTGTATAAATGACTGTGGTTTGGTTTCTCATCGACACAGGAACTTCCTGTCACCCTGCAGGTGGGCCAGTAGAACGTGTGGTGATGATGAGTTTGTAGTTAAAAAAAACGCAATATGTATCTAAACAGTAACAAAAGATGGAGTTTGGTGATGTTGTGAATTGCGTGGGAGTTGTTGTCTTCACCACCATTACAGTCAGCTTCTACTGGTTTTGATTGCTTCAGTGTCAGTGGTTCAGCAGGTTTTTAACTGCTGAATTATCCAGAGATCTCCTCCTCTCCACAACAAACAGACCAGCTGATTATAACCAGTAAAAACACTGAATAACAATAACAAAACAGTTTCACTTTAAAAATCAGTGTTTCTCCAACACAGTTCGGCTGACACAGGACATCTCAAACGGTTGGGAGCTGAGCTATCTAACAATTATTCAGCTTTTTTTGTCTGATAACTAAAGATCCACATGTCCAATGACTAAAATCCTTCACCCGGTTCAAAAATGGAAAACAACCAAGATCTAAAATCTTTACCTGCAGCTGTGTTCTGCCTTAAAAGCGTACAAAGTTCCATGGAATTCTGAACTTTCCAAACATGATATCACAAAGCAGCTGTACAATACCAACAAATCCAAGGGAACTACTTCAACTGCAATGTATTCCCAGATAATGAAAAGTTCCCATAAACCTTTTGCAATACAAACAACCTGGCAAAATGACTGGAGGAATATTACACAAGCCTCAAAACCACCAAACCATTCACTTAAGATTTGTGCGTAGAACTTATTTAACACCTATAATTAGACATCGGCATAACAACGCATTAACCATCTCCTTCATGTCAGGTACTTTAACACATATGATCTTGGGACTCTCTGAGGTTCAGTCCTTTTGGTTACAAGTTATTACATCACTATCTGAAATTCTCAATAAGGAGATTCCATGTTGCCGCTTACTGTGTTTCCTAAATGGCAATTCTCAGGTCCCCATGTCCGTACATGTGTATGTGTACATGCTCCTTTGTTTTTGTCAACATGACTAAATAACAAATTGTTCACCAGAAATAAATGAATAAAAACTGAAAAGTAAAAATGAGGCGCACAACTAGATAAAACTCAATGTTGAACTTCTCCGACAAACACAACACTGACACATGCTCAAAGAGGATATGACGTCACTGCCAGGTGACCAAATGCAACGGACCGTTACTATGGTTTGGAAATTGATGGAAACATTTGGGATAATGTAAGAACACAACTCAACAACATATATAACATAGGTCGTTATATATAATATAAGATAGTTGTTTTTGGACATTTTAATGAAGAAAAGTTACAGATCATAACTTTAAGTTCTCCTAAATGTCCCAAAACATTTAAGAGCCCCTGTTATATGGAGATGTGTGGACACGGGGCTAGGAGACAAACTTCTCAAACTACTCCCATCTTACCTTCACCGGTTCCCTGCCATCCTGTCGTCCACCAGTGGCCGAGGTGTGATTAAGAAGCGGGCTGCACTGTCTGAAAACCCGGCTGCTCTCCGGTCTTGTTTCGCGGTTGTCTGTGGTTCCAGCCTCCCTGTCCCCGGGCCCCTCTTCCCCGCTGTCCTCGCTGCTCTGGAGGTCTGGCTCGCACTCACCGTGACTCTGCTGCCGGCTCTCGGCGACGCACACACTCGCCAGAGCAGACAGAGATTCCCCCAGGTCCCTCCATGGTAAAACCCCGGAGCCATAATCTCTCTTCACAGGGTCCCGGGACCGCAGCACCAACAGGAACTGGACAGTCTCCCCGAGGTACAGGTGACGTCTCCGGGGAAGAGTTGTGAAGTCCGCCGGGTCCGAGAGACTTGATATCGGAGCGGCAGGAAAATACATGAAGTAGTCGCAGAGTGGTTCCATCATTTCAACCGTAAGTAACGTTAACTAGCACAAGCTAACTATTAGCCATCTGCTGCCATGTAAACAGACCGGGGGTCAGAGGTCACGACATCTTCATTTCTGTTAAAAAGACCTTGAGTCAGAGACAGGCTGACTACAACAGTCCGCATATCATAACACTGTGTAAAATTGTGATTATGTCAATCTTCTCCGCCTCACTTCCTTCATTCACAGTACACACAGGACGGTTAATGGAAACAGAGTAGTCACCAGACCAAACTAATCAATCACCAGACAACAGTGGAGCCCAGAGCTCAATTGTTCAAAAGTAATCTGATCAGATTTTGGATAATGGATTGGATCAAATCTTGAAAATGGGTTGTTCAAAACTAAAAACGGATTCTGATATCAGATTAGATCACGTAATCCAATCTTGGTTTTAATCTGGATCAAACCCTCAGTTTGTGTTGTTCAAAACTTTTTAGTAGGATTGAGATAACTTTGATCCAAAAAATGAGGATTATTCTGATCCCAGCAGTAGGGTGGATTTCAGGAACAAAATGTAATTTAAATTAAATCTCAACTGGTCAAATAAACAACATTTATCATGGAGTATATATACATTTATTTATTTATATTTTGCACCAGATTTTTTTTTTAACCATTACAGTGATAAAGTAGATAAAGAAGAAATTAGGCTATTACACCTTTCAGCACAGTAAGGTTAAAAAAAAAAAGGATTTTGTTCCCCTAAAATAATCCTCCAAATAGCTGTCAAAATCCAACAAAAAATATTCAATTTTAACTGTGAGGGACAATACAGGCAAGTATTATGTTGCACGCTCCTTGTGGTTCCACTCGCAAGTATTTAGGGCATGCAAAGCGCCTCTTCAGAACTCCATTTAAATGCTCAATCAGAAGTGAATGAGAAGTGTTGAAGCGTGCCTGCTCCGGTGTGTTTGATGCAAGAAAGGGGGTCATCAGCCATGGTAGGAGTGGATAGGCGCTGTCTCTTAATATTATGCCATCTGCTGGGTTGGTTTGGAGCTCTCTGTATGGGGTGCTTTCCCTCAGGATACGGCCATCATGGACAGACCCAGGGCACTTCACGGCACAGTTCATGATTATGAGGTCAGCGTCACCCACAAGTTGTATGTTTATCCCCCATTCTGTTGATGTCCTCCCACTCTCTCTCATGGGGTGCTTGTATAAACACGAGTGCAGTCGATAACCCCAGTAACATTGGACATGTTTCCCAAAAGTAAGAACTTTCGCTTGGTCTGGGAAATCTGGTCACTCCTTGGAAATGAAACAAACTGATTGGCCAGGCTGGCCTACTCCATAAGACGTAAACAGACTTTGATGAGTAAAATGAACATTTCATTCATTTACATACAAACTACGCGGTGAGCATTTAACAGTGGAAGATCCCTGTTGAAGCCATCAATCACTTTTTCATCCAGCTGCTGAAAACTGAACGAATCAACAGAATCAAGGAGCTGAGGAGACCGGGGAGTGACGTTAAAGAAATGTTGCGTTTATTCAGTACAAGAAAAAAAAAAAACAACTCAGTGGATGCACACAAAGAGCGTCATCTACTACAAATTTCAACAAATATATGCAGTTTCAAGTAAGATCCAAGCCAAGGTACACTCCTGTCTCTGAATGAACTCCTTCCAGTTCAGTGAAATCCATAACAGGCTGAGAGATGATCCACGTCCTTCCTGTCAGTCACAACCCAGGGATGTGGGGATAGTAGACAGAGATGAATACGATCAAAGGTGAGGCACACTGGGCACCAGAGCCTCTGAAAACTGAGATTGAAGGTTTGACACAAAGACGCACCTTTTATTCTCATTCTTACACACTATGTAACATACAACAAGTTCACGTTATGAAAACTTGAATACTTTGTAACGAGCTACAAAATAAGTCACAGTACCATATCACTAAATGTTTAAACCAGACATTTCCCTGGAAGAATAAAAACAAAGCTTAGGAAGACACTTTCATTTTATCTTGTTACCTATCAGCAGAGAACGTATGTGTGTGTGTTGGGAGTGTGAGTCGAGATTAACACAAATGTGTATACACAGTGTGTACAGAACCACATTGTATCCACCAATGAAAAAAAACAACTCTCTTATCATTGTGACTTCTGTGACTTGGCATTAGAAAATATCTTATATGTAAGAGACAATATATTAAAATTACAAGATCTGCATCTGTCTATTATCTCGATTATTATGAGATAATAATTAGATGAAGACTAGTAGCGCAGCAGGTAACTGCATATTTTACGTAAATCTTTCAAGTGATGACACAAGTGCTAAACTTGGAACAATTCCTCCTTGGGTATTACTCTTGATAAAACACTTTAGCCACTTGGAAATTCAAGATGGCCACCATTTCTGGCATGGAAATGTTATTTCTTTGCAATAAGTTCATTCACTATTTTTCATATGAAAAATCCAGGTGTCAGATCCTTCATTTTAACACTGTAGAAGGTGAAAAAAAAATTACTCACAAAAAAGAAATATTACAAAAAAACTCTCTAACTCACCTAATGCTAGCAGGTTACTGAACTTTTAGTTCATCATTCATAATGAATGGTTTACAAATACATTGTGTTTTATGCAGCATTGTTCACATTAAATATTAGAAATTGCACCAATAAATTGACATCCTCATAGTCTAATACACAGGATTCAATTGCAAAATCATTGTAATCTGTCTCGTTGGTAAAATTCTGTGGTGGAATATGTGTTTCCGAAGCCAGAAATTGCAGCCATCTTGAAATTTTGAAATATTTTACAAATTAATGGTACCTGAAAAATAAACATACCAATTTTGGTGCTTGTATCCACATTTGAAAGAATACTGCAGTTACCTGCTGCACTATAGAGCATGTTTTTGTCTTCAGCTTGATAACAAAATCAAACCATTTTCATTGGATTATCATGTCTCTTATCTCGTGATGTTGCGATAACAACAGTAATGTTAATGTGTGTATTTCTTGATGCATGACCACTGATACTTTGCTGAGGTTTGGTTGCCGTGGTTTAAACACATGAAATAATCTGATTTCTGTTCAGGGTGATGAACTGTTCCACTGTCAGGTGTTATTCACCTTTCACACATTGTCTTCAGTACCTTCAGCACTCCATCGTGCTGTGACCGACACACTCTTCCCCTCGTCACCTCTACAGAGAACAACCTGATAAATACAGTATGTACAAACAGAGTAATAAATACAGAAGCCCTGGTCCATTATATGACGTCCTAAGGCAAAAAAAACCAAAAAAACCCTGTTGTTTCTGTGACTGCAGCTGTTTTGTCCTCAGTGGAGAAACATCTGCTGGGTTTAGTCCAGTTATTCCCCGTAATATAAGAAGTCATCACTATAAAGTGACGGCATTGGTGCAAATAAAAGCCCCGACCCCAGTCAAACTGATGACTTCCTGTTCTTAGAGCCGTAGCAGTGGAGCTGAACATCCTGAAGGTGGCACTAGAGGAAAGGTCATGGGGTCACTTAAATCAAAAGGTGAATTTTGTACCAATCTGCATATTAGGAGAAATGTTGTATCCAAAGTTGACATGTCTGACTGAAGAAAACTTATTGAACCTGCAGTTGATTTATTTATAATATTAATACTGAATAAGTGGAAACTCTGATTCATCTCAGTCATCTACACATTCTGTGGACCTGCTCATTTGTTTTCAATATATTTCATCATAGCAACAAGAGACAGTTCATCACAGATATACTGGTGTGTGTTGACGCTGAGGATGAACTGAAATGTTTGAGGTCATTAATGAACAATCTCTCAATTCAGGGATCCTGATAAAAAAAAAAAATATCTGATTTCTTTTAACTCTCAAATATTCAAAATATCTTTATTGGTCTCAAAGAATCTGTCTGCTGATCAACCTCTAAGGTGGAGAGTCGACTCTCACTCAGGTGAATACTGTGAATACTCTGACCAAGGAAGGAATGCGGTACAGGGTGTGACGATCCAGGATCATGACCACGTGTTGGCTCTGCTCCATTCTGCCTCCAAACATCACTGTGATGATGAATCACATAACTGAAGCCAAATTTAAGTGTGGGAAAATTGAATTTCAGATTATAATGAAACTAATATTAACCAATAGAAGGGAAAGTAGGAACCCTTTAATGTTAAAATATCATCTGTCACTCTGTGTAAAAACTATGTGACGTAAAAGCTGATTAACAATCTGCTTTCCAGCAGAGGAAACAGAGGAGGCTGTGAGGGGACATTCATCACTGCACAGGATGGAGAACACTGAGAACACTGACAACACAGAGAACTCAGGGAACACAGAGAACTCAGAGGACACTGAGAACTCAGAGGACACTGAGAACACTGACAACACAGAGAACTCAGGGAACTCAGAGAACACAGAATCTCAGAGAACTTAGGGAACACTGAGAAAGCTGAGAACTCAGAGAACACTGAGGACTCAGGGAACACTGAGATCTCAGAGAACACTGAGAACTCAGTTAACACTGAGAACGCTGAGAACTCAGAGAACACTTAGAACTCAGGGAACACTGAGAACACAGAATCTCAGAGCGCTTTTGCAGGTACACACACTTCAAGCCTCCTTCATCCGACACCTGCACATGCAGACCCAGAGCAGCCGGTTCCTGTAAGTGATCCTGAACCACAACACTGTGAGCTCACTCATGTTCTTCAGACTGTGTCACCTGGACTGAGGAAGAGGAGAGTCAACTACATCTTTATACCCCATGTTGGCTCAACTGTTTTTAATATTTACGATACTGAACTGTCCTCGACTGAATGTATGTCCTGGTCATGGAGAATACTGGGCTCTGATTGGTCAGAGGCTGTGTGTGTTATTTTTAGATACCAGGACTCCACTAGTCTGTAGGTGTAACATGAAGAATAAACAATACCGTACTGTAAACCGTCATCTACCACAGAGTGAGGAGGATAACTCACTATGTGACTGTAACACACCCTGTCGCACCCCTCACCTGTCAACATGTACCTCTGTTCTCAGACGAGTGCACATCCGTAAAAAAACAAAAAACTGACTCCTCAGCGGTGTCACAGCAGAGACTGTGCTGTGCTGCAGGAAGCCAGAACCACAGCAGACAGACATCTCACTTTGAAGACCAGACTGTCTTCCGTTATCAAAGTGCAGCCACACCACATGACCGCCATGTTACAGAGTGCAGGTCGTGGAGAACGCCTCTCTGCTCCCACACACTGCTCGACAGTCAATACACTAAACCTCAATGTGTTTGTATCGTTGACGGCGAGTTACTTCAGAGACCGGACTCAGGAGAGGACAACAGCCCACAGTTGAGGGGACATATATGTAATCTATGATTTCACTTATGTCAACCATGTATTTAGATTTAAAAACAGTTTCAGTTTCAAGTCCAGAGTTTAATATTTAATTTAGTTTAATATAATACGCTGAGGCGCTGCTGTCTGCCACACTACTAAAGAGGATTTAAGTAAAAGATGCAACACTACGACGTGAGAGTTAAAGGATTCTTGAAGTCGTCCAGAACCAGGTCTTCACATGAAACAGGCTCATATCACACACTGTAATTTCTCTATTTTCAGATCCGCTCCTTGGCTTCTGATGCTGTTTGTGCTTAATGTAAACAACACGTCCTCAGTGTTTATCTGCGGTCTGATAAATGTTTCCCCTCAGGCGCCGCCCTCACCTGTGGAGCTGTGCCAGCTCCTCCGTCATGTGAGGCTCACTGATGTGGAAAACCGGTCGGACAATGTCAGCAAGCACACACACGCAGATTTGTGTGTGAGAAGTCACAACTCACAAAGAGGTAGAGATGTGTTTTTTTTTTTTTTTTTATGAATACAATGATGAAATGATGGACACGTTCATGCAGCAGCGTGTTAATTCCCACACCAGGACTGCGTCCATGTTTAACTGCAGACCCCAACACTGCACTGCACACTCCACTGATGGGAAATTTCCTTTTACTCGTCAAAGCTGAAGACTTTTCAGGAACATCAGGACTAATAATGTTAACGATAATAACAATAATAATAATAATTATGATCATCAGTCTGAGATGGTGTCAGTGACAATGATATATTAACCTCCACAGTTTCAGTTTCAACAGTTAATACACGACCTCTGACTGTTTCTCAGTAATCTGTTTGTGACACAATAAGTTTTATATAAATTTTGTTATTCATTTTGTTTATGATTGACTTTTATTTTTGCTGTCGTTGCTTAAGTTGGTGGCTAGGCTAGGCTAGGCTAGGCTAAGCTAGGCTAGGTCCCTGAGCAACACAAATGTCAATAACATCATTTCATCTAAAATCAGGTCAAGTTTAAAGACACAGTGATTTTGTTATAATACTGACTCAGTGTGATCAGTTGAGGACATTATGAAAATCAGGGAGTGTATCTTTAAGATACTTTTTATTTTTATTTTGGCCCTCACTCATTAACACAATTAATTTCAAAAGACGTGGATCTCTGTGAGAATGAGTCTGCATATGTCAGTCGATGGATACATCACCTCCTCTTTAGCAGATAAGCCACAGTGTTCTGCAGCCTCCTGCAGACTTCAGGCCTCAGAGGTTTTCCCCCTCTTGTTTTATTAAGAGATATTTAAGAAGCAGTTCAGGTTCACAGTCTGAAGCTGAACTACAGGAAGTGTTTCTAAGAGAGAATTCATTCATTCTTTTTGACCAGCCTGTAGTGCCTTTACGAACAATGGACACTTAGTGTTGTGTACGTACTCTAACCTCAGTGTGTCCTCTCATGCTTTACATTACAGAGGTTTCCTGAAAGATACCCAGCGATCTTTGAAAACATCAGAGTTTCCTAATTCAAATAAGACATTGTATTATATACAATATAAATGCATTATTATGAATGAAAATACAAAATAATTGAAAGGAACATCAATATAGACGAAGACATTGTTTTTTGTTTTTTTTCTTCTTCTCGTATTAAGACCTATGACTGTGATGAACCAATTATAGGAACTTTTATGTTGTCACCACAGGACCACATCATATACCTGTTTGCGCGCTAGAAAAGAAAGATCACATCCATGGTAAAAACTGCAGTATCAAAATGAATAGCTGGTTAGCAGCAGGGAGGATTGAGAGGAAAAAAGTCAAGAGACAGAAGGAGAATCTACAAGTCAAACAAGAAAGAAAAACTGAGCTTCCCCTGCTTTCACTCCAATCCTGAATTCATTCAAATCAAAAGTGCTCTGAGGGCGTGTCAGAGTATTTGGCTTCTGTTTTGTTACGGGGTCAAATGTGGGCCACTGACATTTTTGAGATTAAGTTTGGCCATGGGTTGGAAAAGTTTGGGAACCACCGATATAGACAACAGATATTTTGAAGTGTTATGTACACTGTCTTTGTTTGGACTTGGAAACACGTTAAACAAGTTTTCACTGTGCAGACGGAACATGTCTTCATCTACTGTTTTTGATGCCTGTGTGTTTCAAAGGTCACCAGGTATTTCACAGCTCAGTGACTCATGTGACGGTTCCACATGAGAGGCACAAACCGAGGCTGCAGTTTAAAAGTATTGATATGAGCGGGGAATAAAACCGACTCCATGTGTCTCTGTCACAAACGACTGAGAGATCAACAGCAGCAGGAGACAGAACACGCAACCTTCAGCTTATTACTGCGGACATGAAAGCATTCCAGGCGCTCAGAGGTCAAAGGTCAAGTCCACAAGGATTAACATTAAGTAAGAGCAGAGACAGTTTTTCAGAAAAACAAGCAAACGACCAAAAGTTAAGGTGCAAAGGAGAATCTTTTCTTTCCTCTGTGTAAACCGCTCGGCTCAAAGGTTCAGGACTCACCTCAGACTATCTCAACCGTCCTGGTTCTTGTCTTATCAAAGTCTGGTTGCTCCGTATTAAACGGCTTCCGTCCCAGTCTCTCTCCCCCTCCTCCACCGTCCTCCCTCCAGCCTCTCCCCCCACCAGCCTCTCTCCTGTCCTGGATGAGTCCTGTCTTACCATCCGCACCTGGCTCTGTTGTCCTGGCTGGGCAGGGGCCGCCAGAGCCCGTGGGAACTGTTTAGCATCCAGCACGTCTTTGTACTGGATCTCAGGCCTGATCATCCTCAGACAGGCGGTTCTGGTGGTGTTGTCCAGCCCCGGCTGGAGCTCATAGCCCAGGATCTTCACTAGTCCGCTCTGGAACGGCCGGATGTTTTTGTCTCGGATCCGGTGCGCCTCCACAGGTTTCCCGCCGTCCCTGAGACAAACCCGGGCCAGGTCTTCCCGCCGCATCCTGAGGAGTGTTACTTCCTGCTCCATCTGAGCGAGACCAAACCTCTCGATTTCCTCCCAGAAGGTCTTGTTGAAGGCTTTGTATAAGTACCAGTCTAAGGCGTTCCACTGCCGCAGCTTCTCCCGCTGTTCCTCCGTTAGTGACAGATTGGGCGGAGTCTTGACTTGTGAATGTCCACCTCTAACGCCGACGCCGGCCGCCGCCGCCGCTTTGCCCACCCAGCTCCCGCTCATCCCCCCGATGCCGCTGGGCTTCTGCTGCCGAGCATTGAGGCTGAATGAGACGACGGCGTCCAGCGGCCAGCAGAGGGCGTGTCTCAGCAGGATCATGGACTGGTCAAAGTACTCAGACACTAGAATCAGCTTGAAGGCCCGGCGGATCATGGCCTCGCCGCGCTGAGCCAGTGCCACTGAGAAATTAGCATTGTGGTCCATACCGAAGTCAAACCACAGCAGGTTGCGGGCGTAGTGGTTGTTGCGGAGGCGAGGGTCATAGTATTTCTTCGGGTCATCGGCAAAGTCACCCAAACCTTTGGCTTTCCGAAAGGCAGGCGCTACTTCTTTGTAATAAGCAAAGGAGGACTCAGCCAGAGAGACCGGGTCCCTGATGATAGAGAAGTAGAAGGTGTCTGCCGGCATCACCTTCTCCACCTGCAGACACAGGAGGACAGATTTACTGTATATACAGTATATCCCATAATAGTATATATCGTACAGTATAAATCCTGTAATAGTATATAGGATATAGTATATATCCTATAGTAGCATATATGGTATGGTATATATACTATAGTAGTATATATCCTATAGCATATATCCTATAGTAATATATATATCCTAAAGTAGTATATATTGTATAGTATATATGGTATAGTAGCATATAGGATATATAGTATATATCCTATAGTAGTGTATATAGGATACAGTATATATGGTATAGTAGTATATATGGTATATAGTATATATCCTATTGAAGTATATATTGAATAATATATATCCTATAGTAGTATAAATGGTATGTAGTATATATCCTATAGTAGTACAAATGGTATATAGTATATATCCTATAGTAGTATATATGGCATGTATGGTATATGTCCTATAGCAGTATATATTATAGTAGCTCCTCTGAGCCTGACCAGTCAACCTCTTTAAGAAGACAGCTGTCGTTGGTGCTTCTATTATTTAAATGTAAACACAACATGAACGTGTCAGTGTGGCTGTAACCTGAGACCAAACTGTTCAGGCTTAGCTAAAGGTCAAGAGTCTGAACACTCAGCACGTCCTTCCTGCTGAAGCAGAAACTGAAGTCTGCCAACTATCATCTATCTATTCGACTCACTGAGCAAAACTGATGAGTTCATGATCTGAGCTGTCATCATTCTTCTATCTGCTTAATTAACAATACAAATATCATCATCATCATCATCATCATCATCATCATCATCATCATCATCATCATCATCATCATCATCGTCCCAGGGTCAAGCCCCTCTCCTCCTCTGCATAACTCACCTCCGGCTTGTTGAATCTCATGTGGTTGCCCATGATGTGGAACTCCACGGCTCTAGGACCTCGGTAACCTTTGACCCTGTGAGCGTTGAAGGGCAGCGGGTAGCCCAGCTGGTAGCCCAGCGGCAAGGCAAAGCGGAGGTCGCGCTCCTCTCCGAAGCGGTACAGCATGTTGAGCACCGTGCTGCTGGCCGTCTTGTGGGTCTTGAGGAACATGATGTGGGTGTAGGGCTGACAGGAGCCCAGAGACGGCCCCTGAGCATCAGGGGACGAGAAGATGGAGCGAGCAGCTGGCTGGACACTGCTGGAAGATGAAGAAACACAGGAAACCACATCTCACAACTGTGTCAAACGACTCCGTGTGATGTGAAAGAATCCGCAGGGATAATTATCAACAACTCTGTGGTTCCGCTCTGCTGTTATTCAGCCTCTCGTAGCTCAACGCTTCGGGTTTCTAGTGAACTCCGTTAACCAGGTCTCCAGCGGAGGAGAAGCTCTGATGAGTCCTCTGTGCTCACCTGTCCAGCACCACACAGCAGACAGACACAGACGAGGTGAACACAGCGGAGCATTCAGCAGCTGAGGCGCAACAGAAAATCTTCGAACCAAACAACACGACATACGACTGAGTTCATAGCTTAGCTCTTTTCATATTCCTGATCAGAGACGGGTTGAGTTGCTGTTACTGTCGGTTGGTTTCAATTATACATACAGAATGACTTCAGACCATAGACTGTAAATAAAGACGGACGTAGCCTCCTTGACGCTCCATGTCACTCATAGGTTTCTGAAGAGCGGTTTTGAAGCTTTTCTTGTCAGTGCCTGACTCCGCCCCTAACTCCCAGCTAATCCAAAAAGCTAATCCAAGCTAAAATCATGTCGGTTTGCAGCAAGCATACGTTTACTCAAAGGAGCACACCCTCAATTCTCCATAACTTTAAGCCGTAATATCATGTAAACAGGTGAGTTATATAAACAGTTTTCATGAAAGAGTAAAACTGTTTTTGTACCAGGCTGTAAACATGTTTATTTCTGCTGTAAAGTTGGACATTTCAACATGGGAGTCTATGGGGATTGACTCACTGTTGGAGCCAGACTCTAGTGGTCATTAGAGGAACTGCAGCTTTTGGTTCTTCAGTGTTGGTAGTTTTCAGCCTCGGAGGTTGATGCTTGCTTCAGACATGTGGCTCTATCAGATTGGTCACAAGATAAAAACACAATATATATGTATTGATGCCTGGGTCAAAGTCCCTACACACACACACACACACACACACACACACACGGAGCCAGTTCAGACAGTGAGAAGTTATCACTGTGTTTGTCACCTCTCCCCCACTGTCTTTTAACCTGTAGACCCACAGTGTGGTTTCAGAACAGGCCACTTTGACTCAGATAAACATGCTGCATGTTGCTCCACGCAGTGAAACTGTCATGTGATTTTTCCATTTGTTCCTCTCTTCTTCAGTGCGGTTTCTTGCGGCTGTCACAGACGCAGTGAGCAGACAGCCGCGAGCTGAAAATTAGTCAGCTTCATGCCGTAAACAGCCGTGCACGTGACAACTGCACGAAGAAAATGAAGTGTTTAAAGGCGCACAGATCGACACAGACCCTCTTACAGACCCCTCCCGCTATCCTAGCTTTCTACGGCGCGGGTGACTGACAGGACAAAAGCAGCATCACTCTCTCTGCAAGTGTTGACCTTCAGCAGCTGATAGAAACACGCGGGGCCAGATGCTCGAATGATGCGTACACACAAAAACAATGCCAGAACAACTTCACGGAGCTCCATTCATTATCATCATTATAAGTTTTACTGCTTACACTGCGACAGGGTCCGGGTTTAGCTGCCAGAGAGCCACAGAGACATTTGGTGCAAAAGACGGAGCGTGCAGAACTTGCCCTTTGAGACTCGTAGCGGAAGATTCAAGCAGTTGTAGTTACTGACGTGTGTTTGTGCGATAAAAAAATACCCAAGAAAAAAAAAAAAAAGTATTTGCGAGAAAATATTTTACACATGTGCAGCTCTCATTGCATGAATTCACATTCTGATTTGCAGATGTGCACATTTTGTCCATGACTTTACAAATGTGAGTGTATGAGTGTGAGTGTATGAGTTTTTGTAATTTGTCATTTGTAAAACAGGATTTGTGCACCTGCCATGAAGAATTTGAGAAGGTGTAACTGGTGTGTTGTCTTTGTGGGAGAGGAAAAAAAAAAATCTACAAGTGTGCAACTCCTAGAGCATCTTTTCTCTGTGACCTCAAGTTTACTGATACACCTGTGTGACTCTTTTATACAACTACTAATTCCACTGTCACAGGTTAGGGTTAGGGTTAGGGTTAGGGTTAGGCTAGCAAAACAGGTTCGGTGGTTTTGCACCAAAAATACCTTCAAAATAAAGACTCTCTGGTCCCAATAGATGAAGTTCAGAGTAAAACAGGAACGTTTTTACCTCAGTTTCCCAATCTGTGAAACTGTTCTCCCTCCTCGTCTTTCTTCTCTGTGTCCGATCACTTTATACAAACTGATTGTTTAATGGAGTGTCTTCATCCATTTACGGCTTCCTGTGGGAGTGGAAATGAGGCTCGAGCCCATGCGCCTGATTTCTATCCATCAACGAGAGTTTTATAAAAAGGAAGCATGCAAACGCACTGATTTATAATCCTCATGAAAAAAGAAGGCGTATGTGTATTTCTGGTTTTTGTGCGTACACATAGTTTTAGTCATGAATCTACACTGAGTTTTACGCATCTGGAGCCTGGTGTCAGCAGAGACTGGCAGGTGACCAGGGGTAGAAAACACTGAGCAGCAGTTTGCTCTGTGACGCCTTTGACGGCTCAGTCACAGCAGAGTTTATCACAGCAGGGTTTAACAATGGAATCGGCTCATTTAAATAAGGAGGTCACAGTAACTGGATTGAGTCACACAACGGGCTCGACTCAGGTGAGACCGTGCTGACGGAGCTCACCTCCGCTGAGCCACACCCTTCACTTTCATGGATTTCAAACTGCTGCGGCTGAGAGGGTGTGATCCATGGACGGTACAGACTCTGCAGAATGAACCATTTTAATGTAAACCATAACAGCTAGTGTCAGCAGAGAAAGGTCAAACACTCGGTCCCAGTCCGTTTGTTCTCACACTGTGAAATGAGGCTAACTACAGAAACAACTTCTAATCTTTATGTCGTGTGTTTATGGAAAAACCGAACATCGGCTACTTTTTTTATTATTATTTAACTCTTAAATATCAGTATGGTTAACAACCAGTTTAGTTAGCTAGTAAAAGAAAACCAGCTAGCTTGTTAGATCACCAGACTCAACAGTTTTCAGACAAATGAATTTCACTGTGTCACTTTACGTCCAAGTCACTGTAGAAAGTGACAAAGCCAAGTTCAAGCTCCTCCGTGAGGAGACAACAAGCTGTGAGCACTTCACTATCTCAGCTCTACAGGTCAACAGGAAGGTGACTACAGCTGACCACCAGGCTGTAACAGCTGTAGAGACTAGAAGTGAAACTAAAATGAAAACCAAATAAAATACAATGAACAGGTGAAATCAGATACCTCTTGTTGAAGATGACCCCCAGCAGCTGACCCGCAAAAGCAATGGCCACGAAGAGCAGCAGAGCTTTCCACATCCACACTGGACCCAACCGACCACACACCAGCCACCGCAACATCCTGGAGGAGGGGAGGGGGAGGAGGGAGGGAGAGAGGGATGATGGATGGATGGATGGATGGATGAATGAATGTATGGGTGGATGGACAAATGGATAGATGGATGGATGAGTGAATGGATGAATGGATACATGGTGGACGGATAGATGGACAAATGGATGGGTGGGTGAATGTATGGACGAATGGATGGATGAATGGATAGATGGATGGATGGATGGATGGATGGATGAAGTTAGAGAAGAGGAACAAATAGAAAAGAGCCAAGGAGTTAGAGATCTGGTGAGTCATAAAGCAAACATGACTAAATCATCATCATCATCATCATCATCATCATCATCATCATCATCATCATCATCATCACAGGGAGGAAAGCAGCCTGAAAACATCCAGAGACAACAGGACCTGCTGAATTCTTTAGATGCTGTCTGCCAATACCGATGCGTCAGCTTTTCATTTTCTGATCAATCTCTGCCTGATCAATATATCTGCTGATAGTTATGTCATGTCTTCACTTTAACGTAGCACATCATGAACAGAGTGACTGATGAGGATGAGGGATGAAGACTCAGGATGAAGTAACAGAACATCCAAACCCCTGGAGGCGACTGATGAACCACGGTGGACAGTGATTTAACTCTATTCTTTAATATGGATGATTCATAATTAATATAATAAATAAGTGAGTGATTGGAACAGATTTTTGTCTCAAAGGGAAAAGCTGAACATATCGTTTTAAACAACAGCTTTAATATCCTGTGAACAGGGTCCGGTGGTTTGTCAGTGTAAATCAAGGATCAGGACTTTAATTAATTTAACCAGTCCTGAATTTACAGGATATTTAAATCAGTGCGAACCTTCTACCATCTGGAACATCTGTGTTAGTTTTTATACTAAACCTGGTTTGTTCTGTCTGAACCTGTAAAACCTATAATAATAATATACTATAAAATCAAATAGAGCTCAATAAAAAATGGATTTTCCAATTAATCACCCAGGCCGATCTTTACACGTGTTCTCTCTCAGACGTTGTGGAAATTGAGTTGTTACATCCACAGTTTATTTAATCTTAAACAGTAGATGAACTCTGCTACAGGAGCCACAACATAATTACAGTCTGTGGCTCCATCTCATTATAATTAAGTAGTATTAACAAGTGTCTACTTATGTGACGTGTCAGGACCTGCCTCTGTGTGCACGTTTAGTCTTTAACTGATGATTATTTACATTTTTTTGAATCTATAATGTAACTGTTGTTTGTTTCTGACTGACCACAGGCTCTGAATGACACGGTGTTATAACATGCGCTGTAAGGGCTCCTGTGGTGTCTGTGGTGTTAGGTCAACAGGAGAACTTTGCTGGGGGCCACAGAGGCCCCAGCAGAGACCGTGTGCGACCAGCTGTGTCGTCTGAGTCCGAACAGCGAACCTCCCTCTGATCCACATCAGACGTAACATGTGGTCAACATCTGGACAGCAGAGGTACATCATTACATAACAGTGGTATGAACAATACACTCAGAGGACTAGGCAGTGGCCTCCACCCACCGCCTCCACCACCACCACCAGCACACACAAAGGAGCTTCAGTTCATTACTGCCTTCTTTTACACGCGCGCGCGCTCACGCGGGATTGGCTGTGGCAGATGGACTGAGTCAATGTTGAATAACCGTTGAATAAACGTTAAATACACGTTAAAGAAAGGCCGCTGCATGTGAAGCACCCCCGCCCCCTCCCCAAATCCTCCACCCACACCTCCTCCTGATTCTCTGCAGGATCACAGCCCAGCGCCGCCCTCCACAATCACCGCATCCCAGTCGGTGTAACCCCCCGCTGTGATCTCTTCCACCTCCTCCCCATACTCGCACCCCCTCCTCTCTCCTGCTAGCTAGCTAACGTTACCTGGCTCTCCGTCTGAAAAGCATAGCTGTGTCCCCGGGCCGGTATCGGTGACGGTGTTATTGTGCAGCTGCAGAGAGCTCGGAGCATCTCGAAGGCTTCGACTGCAGCCGATCCGCCGCCGGTACAGATCAGGCCATGGACCCGGAGCAGCCCCGCAGACCGAGCCTGGACCAGAGAGCCGCTTCAGTCCTGAACCAGTCTTCAAACAAATCCCGTTTCTGTGCACCGACGGCTCCGAGGCTTATTCTGCTGACGGCCGACACTCAGACGGTGAAGACGGAGCGCGAGTGAGGAGAGGGCGGCTCTATTTCCGGAAGCTTCCAAAATAAAATGTCTCGACGGACCACGCAAAGAGACAATCCAGGGTTTTACAAACTCTGAGGAAACTGTCCTAGATGTCTGACAGGACAGGAATCAGTTTATACAGTATCCGCCATTTATCAGGTTTTAATCGAGGATGTTAACTAACCTTGACCCTCACCACACAATTAAACACAAGTGCCTCACCTGTAAATTTGACCTTCTCACAGGTGCAAGCTCAGAAAGTCTCGTCACTGTCAGGTGTGTCTCTGCTGAGAGAGAGACACTGTGCAGGTGAGAGAGAGAAGAGGACCTGACAGAATCCATCACAACAGTTCGTGTATTAAATGACAAAGTCCCTGCTTTAATTTGAAGGCACACTGGGTGTGTTTCCGTTCTGTTATTATCGCACTGTTGTTGACTTGATAGAGTAGCTTTGCTGAGTCTGACGTCATCCTGTGATGCTGACAGAAAGGCATCCAGAGAAAAAGCCGCCTGGCTCCTTTCTCCACCTTACTCCACACACACACACACACACACACACACACACACACATACATATACTGTACTGTATATATATGAAGTGAAGTTCACTCAGAACAGTCACCCTCCATTGACTGATTGTTAGTTTGTTGCGGTCCAGGGAAGAACCCATTAAAAGGTTTGGTGCTGATCTTGTTAAAGAGGCAGATCAAGGACTTTTTGATCACTTTCCTCAACGTTGGCAAACAGAACATTTTTCATCTTTTCTGATGAAATAATGTGATAATAATTGATCTTGAAGTAAAAAAATTCAGAAATATTTATGATCTGAGATCTGTGTGTTTGTACAGTTTGGTGCAGATCCAGGTTCTGGATCCACAGGTTCTGGATCTGACAGACATGTGTAGGATTGTTTGGCCTTGGTGGAGGTCTGTGTTCTACTGAGTGCTGTTCTAGTTCCTGTTACTGTCATTGTTCCAGTGGTTTGCTCTGCTGGAATTTGAAGTGTTTACTCCTGTCTCACTCATCCTGTTCTTCCTTTCTCTCAAGGTCCTGAGGTGTACACACACATTCATGTGTGTATACGTGTGTGTCTGTGTATTTGTGTGTATACATGTGTGTGTGCGGTGTCTATAGCTTCTCAACATGTAGTGTATTCACACAGTTTATTAAAGTGAAGTGTTTGCTTAAAATGAATGGAGATTTAATAACAGGTTTATAAAACACATCATTGTTAATTATTAAACATGGTGGTTTTCAGCCGCCTGACCAGTGACGTCTGTGCAGCTGCAGCTCGGATGTTTAAGACTTGTTATCAGTTCACATTCATTTAAAAGGTCTGTGGCTCAAACTGGAAAAGTAAATTTTCCTCCTGACTGTATTTAAAGAAGATAAATACATTTATACTAATCTATCAGTCACGCATGATAACACATCTGTCACAGGGACCAGTTGTTTCACTGTAAGTATACTGTGCTCAGACCACAGTATACCACCACCTCTGGCTACTGGTCACCAGTATGAACTGGTCACTCATCACTTTGTCTGGCATCTCATAAATGTGGTGGAGTGAGGTGAAACAGTTAGTTTCAGACTTTAGTTTACATACTTGGTCAGTGACATCAGACCAACAAGAGACAGACTGGGTGAATCTTCAGCTCTGAGCAGCTTTTAAACAGGAGTTCATGAGTTTTAACTGGAGCCTCTTGAGAGTTTGTGTCTCCCTGCAGAGCTGCAGGTCACTGCTGCTGTTCAGTAATATCACTCTGCTGCAGCTGTTCAAACACGTCAACCACACGACTCTGCCTCTCACTCCAGGAGCCTGTAAGTCAGCCGGCTGTCTGCCGAACTGGTCGACAGCTCTGTTTACTGAAGATGATGAAATCTTCCTCACAGGACCTTCATAGTGTATACATGGTATTTTACTTATTCCGGAAAATTTCATGATAAATTTACATTTTCTCGTCATATTCCTACAGTTCTCTAAAAGAAGACGAGAAATATTCTCAAAATAATGACTTTCTTCTCATATTATGATTATTTGTGTAAAATCATTTCTTTAGTATCATACTATATCTTTTCTTGTCTAAGTTACAACTTATTTTCCTCTTTGTATTCCGAGTTTATTCTGTAAAGGAACAAGAAACCATCCACACTGTTCCTTTGTCCTCTGCATTAACTCACTGGGTATTTTGACAAAATGACGAGTCGGGAAAACATGTTGATGTCATGATCTCCCCTGATGGACTCTTAATGTTTGGACTTTTGGTTGTTTTCCTGTTTTATTTTGAAATTTCTTCACTTGTGTGTCTTGTGGTAATTTGAATTCCAGTCTTTGTTATGTTATGTTTTGTTATGTTTCCCTCCTTTGTGAAGACATGGCAGCGCACTAACACAGTGTAAATGTTAGTGGGTCATGATAGTCCTGTGTGACACCCGTTAGCCTTAGCATTAGCTGGAAGAAACAAAGAAATGATGTGTGTGAACTGCTACGCAGCTTAGGGCTGAACTATTTTTACCGTATCCTTATCTAGATATGAACATGCAAATATTAATATCACAAAAGGAAATGATGTGGACGATATCAAATTTTGCCAAGCCCGTCACGTCCACCCTGCATGTAAAGGTAGGAGCCTGGACTCACTCAGGACTGTTGTGGAGAGATGCATGCAATGTAAGATAGAGGCCATCTTGGACAATACCAACCATCCTCCCAACATTCTGGCAGGACAGACAAGCAGCTGCAGCTGCAGCAAACGTCTCATCTCACGGCACTGCAGAACAGAGAGGTTCAGGAGATCCTTTGTTCCCACTGCCATCAGGATATACAACACCTCAGACACAGGAAGTGGACTCATTTCATTATTATTGTTCATTATTTATTATTGACTGTTATTACTATTATTACAGAGAGCTGCTGGACACATGAATTCCCCGTAGGGGATAAATAAAGTTTCTATCTATCTACAGACACGATTATGGAAACACACACACACACACACACACACACACACACCACATACACACACAAGCTCTGTGAAGAGAACCATGGATACAGGATGAAAAGAGGTCAGATCTCTGTTCCCAGTGCTCAGTCCCAGTTCCTACCACCAGTATAAAAATATTCATCATGTATTTCCTAACTGTAATAAATAATATAATAAAAAATATCAACATGAAGCAGAGATGAAAACAGAACCACAACAAACACAGGCCTCAGATACAGTTTCACACATCTCAACAAAGCAGCTCTACACAAACCAACATCTGAGGAGTAATCACACTGAGCTCGTTTGCAGAGTGTAATTCAGGCATTTGTTATTCATGCGCACACACTGCAGGTTAATGTCGGCGGTGAAGCTAAGACACAGAAACCTGGTCTGGACTGATTCACAGTCCGCATGTGCAGCAGGAGGCAGCTCTGGCTCTAAATTTAGAAGTAAAGCCTCTAATCGGTCAACCTTTGTTAAGGAAGAAGCACCAGCTGCTCCTGACCAGCCTCCCCCTCCTCCCCTCCTCACCCTCCTCCATATGGCCCAGGCCAGACAATAGCACTGTGTCAAAAGAACAAAGGGCTGCACGGTGTGTTGCCGCAGGTACCGGTGAGGTCCGGAACATGGAGGGTTCACAGCAGGGATCTGTTTCTTACCGCAACACTACAGACTTCAGGCTTCAGGTGTTCTACCTGGAAGATGTTTGAATGCACCTGGTGGTCGGCACGATGCCTGATGATGTTCAAAAACTCACTACAGATCAGCTTGTTCACTGAATAGCAGATTTCTGCCTGAAACACTGCAGCAACACAACATGATGCATGAACAAGACCAACAACCTACAGTTGTTGTGAGTGATCTGATCAGTGTCACTCCTGATCAGTGTCACTGATCAGATCACTCTCACTCCCTCCTCACTGCCTCCTGGTCTCAGCATGAATCTGTACACTGTTTCTTGTGTGCACTGTCACATGACCCTGTAGAGCAGGTGTTAAAGTGTTAGTCACACTGGAGACCTGACTCACTGATCTTCACCTTCACTGACCTTGCTCTTCAACTCCACTCATCTCCACAGCACTACATGATGTATTTATTATACAACGAGTGTAATCATCATAACACACAACCTCTTAACATGGGGGTCATAGTGCACAATGAATGACAGCACAGCATTCAGTTTTACATCAATGTAATGAAACAGGTGAGACAGAGCCACCTAGTGCCTCCACCTGTTACTACAACAACACCAGTCAGAGAGAGAGAGAGAGAGAGAGAGAGAGAGAGAGAGAGAGAGAGAGCTGCTGCTGGATGCAGAGTTTGGTTCAGATGGTTTCATCCCCCAGCTTTATGAAGTCAGAGATAATCTTCACAAGGACAGGAACAGAAACTCCTGCTTCTTTTATGATGATCACATGATCACTCGCCTCCTGTTTGACCGAATCTCTGTACTAACTGTGATCTGTCCAAATGTTGACTGGAGAACACCTCTGTAATAGAGGTTTAACTATATCTTTATTTCTCAGATATAACTGAATAAATTAAAAGAATTGTTTCACTAGATAATTAAGATTAACAATAATCTGATCGATGTTGTGATTGATCAGTGTCACTTAACAAACTGAAGAAAGTGTCAGTGATGCTGCAGTTGCTACTGATGGAGTGTTGCTACAACTACTATAAGTTCAATAAGGTTTTCACATATGAGGAAAAAAACTGTCGGAAATAATTTGTTTATTTTATTAATTTTTTAGGCAGGTAACCATCGAGTAAAAAAACATTTTCATGCACCATACATGGATGTGAGTCTAAAGAGAGTAATTATTACTTTGTAAAAAAAAAATGTGAAAAATTACATTAGACTTTTTACACAATAAATTGATGTTTTCTTAAATGTTTTTAT